GACAGGGCTGCAATATTCATAAGCAGGTAGCTGGGATGGGACAGAGCTGTGATCTCTGTGGGTGGGCAGCGCCCAGGCTGGGGCACCCATCTTTCTCAGTGCATGTGTGCAGCTCCCAGCAGAGAGAGGCTGGGTCTCTCTTGGACACTGTCGTGCTGCCATGGTAACAATGAATGATCTGGTTGACGTTTTCACGATCAGTGATCCCTTTCTCATGCACCCGTCACCTGTCTGTACCCAATGAGGGGCTGGTGCAGGTGTCGGGGAAATGAGACTGCCCGATGGTTTATGGCTGGCTTATGTACAGCTAAACCAGGCCTCTATGCTGCAGATGTGCCCAACCCTGAGGAGACCTGGGAGTTGTCAGCAGACAACAGCTCCTCAGGCTGGTGCCCCAGACGAGGCCCTTCCCCAGGAGCAGGTAAGGGGCGCTGGCTCGACCCTTTCCCACAGCAGGAGGCACCGTCCCTCAGTGGAGAAATCTCTGCCGCAAAATTTTAGTGGGGCCAGGGCTCCAACAGATCAGCGGTTCTTGTTCTCCGGTGCCCTTGGGAGCATTTCACATGGCCTGGAGAAGATGGACCTTATATTTCCTTTTCCCCTCCCTTAACATGTGAATGCTGACACAGCCCCAACATCCCTCCAGCTTCTTTCCCAGGGAGCGATGTCCCTGCAGGCTCTGACGTGGTGTGATCACCACCTGACACTGGGACACAGTTATTGGGGCTCATCTCCAGCCTCATGCCCGTGGAGGTCTGTTAGGTGCGTGACTTTGAGACTTCCTTCTGCCCCTTCTTTCTCACACTGAAGCCTCCACCTTGCTTAGTCCGAGGCCAGACAAGGAGGTGAGCAGGGCTTCCCCCGTGCCAGCAGCACCAGGGCTAACCTGTGCACTCTCTTCCCCACCCGCAGGTGCTGGGACCCTGAGCAGAGCGGAGCAGCAGCTTCCTGAGGAGGGGCCTGGAAACCTGGAACTGCAGAGGACTTCCCCAGGGAGACCGGAGGAGAGGAGCTCCCGGACACCTGAGCCGGGCCAAGTGCAGAGGGGGCAGGGCAGGCCTCCAGAGCAGGAGGAGAGCTGGGAGGTGAGCAGGGCACCCGGTTGAGTCGTGGGTGGGAGTAGAGCTGGGGCAGAGCCCGGGAGGTGCCAGGGTTGCAGTAAGGAATCTGGGGAGTGGAGAGTCCTGAAGAGAGACAAGCCTGTGGTGATGGAGGCTGCAAACACACCAAGCTGCTTTAGTAGTAGCTTCCTCCCAAGTGCAGGGAGCCAGGGGTGCTGGCATGGGAAGGCCTGGTCAGGGTGCGTGGAGCTGGGGCTCCTGCCTCTAAAAGTGGTGCCCAGGCTGCATCCAGGGGCTGAGCAAACGGAACGGTTTTATCCCAGCTCAGCACGACACCTGAGCTCCTGTGTCCACAGCTGCATCCACAGCACAGGTCAGCTGAATCCTGGGGAATTTTGCACCCCTACGTGCCCTGTCTCAGCCTGCGACTAGTTGTAGCACTGAGTGATCCCAGCCAGGGCTGTGGGGGCTGGAGGCAGGTGGGACGGGAGACACTGATGGTGTAATGCTTGGTACTGCAGCTCCCGGAGGTGTTTGAGGATGTGGCCGTGTATTTCTCACGGAAGGAGTGGGAGCTGCTGGAAGATGAAGACAAGGTGCTTTACCGGGACCAGATGCTGAAGAATTACCAAGCCCTCGTTTCCCTGGGTAAGGTTCTGGTTCTTGCTTCTCCTGTACGAGCTCTGAAGTTTATTGCCTTGTCCCTGTGTTTCAGCAGTCTTGTCCTCATGCAGTTTTTGGGCTGGGGTTTTAATTTCCCTTCCTCCCCTCTCCTCTGCCAGTGATCATGCCTGTCTCACATTTCATAATGATTAATCCTACTTCATTTCATCCAGGCACCTTCACTTGAGTCTTCCCCACTGTTGTAACTCCTGGTGCTTCCATATGCATCTGTTTCTGGGCATCATGATCTCTCTTTGCCCTCTCAGCGTGTTCATACCGACTCCAACTCCTTGCACATAAGTGCACTAAGAGCTGTTTCCAGGGAATGGTTCTCATTTCCTCCCTCTCTTGCCTAGCGTGTCCTGTCCAAACACATTCATCAATCCAGTGTGCTCCGTTCTGTGATACCTAAGTTCCCTTTCTCCTCCTTTGGTTATGACTGAGAAAAAGCTAACAGAAGTCTTACCAGCCTCTGGTGCTACAACACATGGATGATGCATTTCTACATGTCCGTCTCTTGGGATATATGTACAGGTGATGGATCCTAGGTATTTCTGTCATGGGGTCACTAAAAGCTTCTGTCGACCATCCTTCCTAACATCTTCATCTCCATAGACCAGAGACTTTGGCTTTGCTGTATTTACGTTAAGACCTGTGCCCTCAAGCTCACTCTGCCAATCTCAAATATTTTCTTCCTCTCCTCCTCAAATCCCTCTGCAGATCACAAGCCCATCATGGTGAGAAGAAGAAGTGGGCTATGTGCAGGGCCTAGTGCAAACCAGTCTTTGTTTCCAGAGGATCTCTAATACAGCACCTCTCTTTGGTGTGTGCATAGTGTCAAGGTACTTTACCTTTGCCTGGGCCAGTTGTCTTTTCTGATGCTTTCTTTCCCTTCCATTTCCCCCAGAGCATTTCCATTGTCATGACCCAATGTTTTTGTGTGTGCTTCGGCACTGCAGAATTATTTCCCACCACATGGAGCTTTCTTTGCACGGTGCAATTCTCAGCTGCAGAGAGAAATCCCTGGTGCAAAGGAGTTCCCGCCGCTCGCATGCAAATTTGTACCCCACTATTGGCTGTTTCTAAATTATTCCCACGTGGCGGCTAGCAGTTGACTTGCTAGCCGTATAAGAGGCTTGAGCAGTTTCCGCCCAAGTCGGAGATCTCCGAGAATCTCAGGAGGATCCTGAGAACCCCGATTCCAAGAATTCCGGGAGAAATCCAAGAGAATTCCGGCAAGGAGTCCACGATTACCTCGTGGACTTCTACGTAAATCTCGGACTGAATGGTGGTTTGATCACCCATCAAGAGTCTCTCCCCGTCGCCGCACGATCCCTCGACATACCCTACCCTGTGCGCTTGTCGAGAGTCACCTTTCGGACTCTCATTTCGGTCGTTCCACGGAGCCTAGCAAACTCCGTGAGTGTGTATCCAGAGCTCTGTTCGTGTTTGTTTTGTGGAGCCTAGCAAACTCCACGTGTGTCTTTTTGTAACTGCAACTCAAGAAAGTTTTTCCTGCCTGCACCGCGACCACCTACGGTGTAAGTAAAACAATCTTTAATCAACCTCTACGCGTCAGTGCCTAATTCTAGTTCGCCGTGCCGACCTTTTTCCCAGCCCATGTGCCCGGGCTGCTAGCCACAGCCCCTCAGCCCCGACATCCATAAGGAAGAGATCGAATGATTTCTCTAGCACAGCAGAGACCGTCCAAACTGGGCTTCCGCATGCTGTGCCACGTGTGTATTTCTGCCTTCTTTTGTCCAGATCCAACTTTGTGTTCCTGGGAAAGCCTGCAGTATGTGCCAACCTGTGCACTCATCTCCCTCCTAGGTTAATTCTTCCATTGGAGGGCTTGATTGCTCAGTTGTTGCTGCAGTTATTATAAAGTGATGACTTTGGTACTTTGACAAGAGTAAAAGCTTTATCTTTATGCTCCCTAGCACCTCACAGATCATCGTGTCTCCACACCTGTCCACGGTCACTCTGTCAGTTTAATGCCCTTTCTATACCAGGAGTGGTTGGTGCTTTGTTTCCTGTGACCATCCCACCACTGCCTGGGTGACCAGGAGCATCATCTAATGAAGGCTTCTTTCTGCAGCACCTTCTCTTCCATCCTAAATGCCCATCTTCCCTTGTCCAACAAGCTGTAGTAGAAACCTTGAGTTCCTTGGATCTGCTCCCCTGCCATGGTGGGTTATTCTGAATCCAGTACTGAGTCACGAGCCCTCTTTAACTACCACCCTAAACAGGATATGGAGGTCTCACACCTGATGTAATCTGCCGCATCCAGCGAGGAGAGGTGGAGCTGTGGGTCTGTGATGATGAGGATGGCGGGGAAACCTCAAGGTTGGAGGACCTGCTGCCAGGTGAGTGTGGCTGTGCCCTCTCCTGAGTCCCCTCTGGGAAATGCTCCATGCCCAGCATGCCAGGGGCACCTGGAAACTGCAGACCTGCTCTGTGCTGCCATTCCCGGATGCTGACCTCAAATACAGTACATGATGCTGCAGTGTTTTAAGGCAGGTGTTGTTCCCCATCTTTGAAATTCACTGATGCGAAGACAAGCAATGTTCTCTGCTAGGGCACAGTCAAGTTTCCTGTCTTCATTTTTTTTTTTAATGTTTAGATGTGGTTTCCCTGGGATGCCATGATCTTAATATCCCGTGTTCACTCAGTAATGCAGGAGCTCATTTCCCAAGGTAGTCATATCTCTCCCACCCTCTCCCAGGCCATGATGGGATTGGTAGTCCCCCATGGACATCAGCCTAGTATGCAGAGGCTCTGTAGTCGTTACTTGTAGACACAAAGGAAGTTGAGGCTCTTGCTAGCTTCTCCTGGTCATGTTGACCTGATTCCCAGGAAGTGTTTCATCATGGTCTCAGGCTGCATTAAATGGCTCCATGGCATGGGTGGGATTAGGAAGCCTTCGTGTGGCGTGGGGAAGTGAATCCCCCATGGTTTGCACTAGAATCACCCCTTTACTCTTTCATTTCTGTGGCCCTGAGTGTCACAAAGCCTCAGACTCATCCCCAGAGTCCAGGTTGAGGTTCATGCCAAGGCCTTAGGCCTGTTGCAGGCTCCTGTGACATGCTGACCACCTCGGACCCACCAGCAGTACAAAGCACCATGGGTTCATTTCCTGCACTGACCTTGCCCTGGAAGCAGGCAAGAAGCACAGTCCTCTCAGAAGAGAGAGCCACAGCTTTAAGTCCTCTTCCTCCATGGCCTGGTAGAGCATGAGGCCTTTCCGGCACTGTCCTAATGCACGTGTCCCACGTGTGCTTTTCCCAGCAGGGCCTGAGGTGATGGGGCTGAGACCTGGGCCATGATCTCTTGAGAGTCTTGTTTTCATCTCCAGCGAGTAGGGCACATTGGCCTGGCACAGAGACTTGCCCCTGCTTCAGACCAAACACTTGGGGTTTTGGCAGGAAGACTTCGATGTCTTGAGGGAACACAAGTGCCAAGGTCCAGGCCTGATCTGAGGCCCTTCCCAGTAGAAGGAGTATCAGTGCTTGCCCCTGGCCACAAGGCAGGGACCAATCTGGGGTTTGTCTTCCCCACACAGGAGGTGCCTGGCTGCTGCACAGAGCTGAGAAGCAGCCTCCTGCGGAAGGGCCTGCAGACCTGGAGCCAGCATGGACTTCCCCAGGGAGTTTGGGCGAGATGGACACCCCGAGACCAGATAAGGACCAATGGCACAAGAGTCAGGGGAGGCCCCAAAAGGAAAGGGAGAATGAAGCAGTGAACCAGGTACCATCTTTAGGTGGGTGTGAGAGTGGAGAAGGGGCAGAGCCCGGACAGAGCCCTGGCTGCAGAGAAGAAGTGGATCTGGGAGAGCTGAAGAGCCCCTGGAAAGAGGCACTGCATCCGGATGAAAGCAGTGGGGAGGGTGTCAGGGGGAAGCAGGAGCTCACGGCCAAGCACAGGGGCAGAGCCCGCCCCTGCCCTGAGGTCAGAAAAACCTTTAATAGCCCCTCACCCCTGGCTCAACACAAGATGAAGCAAACTGGCAAGAAGCCCCATGTATGTGCCAAGTGTGGGAAGAGCTTCACCTGGTCCTCACACCTGATCCGGCACCAGTTCACGCACGCAGAGGAGAAGCCGTATCGGTGCTCAGAGTGTGGGAAGAGCTTCACCCAGTCCCCCCACCTGACCCAGCATCGGTTCATCCACACCCGGAAGCATCCATAGTTTTGGGGGCAATGCAGGAAAGTGTTTGGGTATGCCCACCTGATCATTGCCCACCATTGGCTGCCTTGAGGCAAGCAGCCTCGTGCTGGTGGACTGCAGCAAGAGTTCACCCAGCCTCGGCCCTTCTATGGACCTGCAGACCCCAGAGGAGCAAAGGCTAGCCCCAAGGTTTGATGTGGGGAGGGGCTAAGAGGAAATACCTGAGGCAGAGGCCAGTCTAGATGCTGGAAGAACTGGTGGGGGATCCCTTTGCATCAGCCTTGGAGCCTGTGTTTCTGCCATCATTCTCTAAAAGTGATCTATGCTTCAAGGGGGAGAAGAAATGGCTCCAAAATAGGGTGCCTCTCCAAGACAACTGACTCCAAAAGACACCCAGGGACTGTCCTTGCCAGCTCCCACCTTCCTCCTCCATCCTGGCCCCCGGGATTCTGGTATGTCAGGCACCAGCGTTGCAGGAAGGAGGACATTTATGGCTGGGGAAGCATTTCTTGTCCTCCGCCCTGACCTCACCTCTCCTCCCCACTACATCACCCCTCCCTAGACCTGCACATGCCCATCGTGGTCTGCAAGGAGCACAGCTGCCACCTCCTGAGTCCAGCGTGGCAGGTTTTGCTTCTCAGCCCCTCTTCCGTGGGTTTTTTTTAACCCTCCGGTGTTGGAGGTACCATGTCCTGCTGTCAACTCTGCAGGATCATACCTCGCTGACAAATTTGCTTAGCTTTTATACTGTTTCTTCAAGGCAATTTGCTTGATGTTTGGCCTATTTAAGCCTGAACAAAACAGGGAGGAAAAGGTTGATTTTCATATCACAGCTCGTAATTGCCGGGCTCCTGTTCTTGATTGTCTAGGTGTAAAGACTGTATCTGTGGCCCCTGTAATGAGTCGATCACAGATGATGGGCTTTGAGTGTCCGACAGGATACTTAGAGGTGTCACCACCAAACCTGTTTTGGGGTGCTTGTATATCAATGGGGAGCTTGTACTGGTGGTGGTCTATTTACCAAACTGCAGACATTCAGTGAATGGCTTGCACATTTCTAGCACCTTAGAGGGACATTGGATTCCTGGTTTGAGCAATGTGAGACTGTCGGATACAGAACATCCTCCCTGTATTCAGTGTACCTTTTACAGGTTTCTTTTGAGATGCATATATAGCCTTTTGTTTCCTTTGGCTGCTAGGTCAATTGAAATGCATATGTGGTTTCCTTGCCTTCACTGGCTCACCTTTGTTTAAAGGGCTTTCTGAGGTACACACATGTGATGAGCACATCGGGTCTCTGCCAACAGTTTTAACCACTTTTATTATTGTATGGCTTGGGTCTGGTATTGGGTACTGCAAGCACTTCCCTGTCTCAATGCCTAATGGGTTACAAGCCATTAGTGGAGTTTGATTTTCTTGTGGCAGTCTTGTTACCACAATCCAGTCTTGCCCCAGCCACTGTCCTGCATTTCTATTTTATGTCCAAGCTTTCACAATTTTCATATTTCATTGATGTTGAATGTGTAAGTGGCTGTGCAGGTTGGGGGAAACACATATAGGTGAGGGGGTGTATGTCAAAGGAACTGAAATCCTCACCACCCCTTTCCAAGAGGGGAACATGGGTGCACATCAGTTAAGGTCACGTATTTGTCTTCACAAGGGCTGACTTCAGGCCTCCTTCCCAAATACAGTTCTCACTGTTTTTGTGACGTAGACTTATGGAGACGAGGATGGTGTGTTACAGAAGTAGATGCATAAGCATTTGTGGTCAGTGCCCCGAGCAGGGTTGAATAGGAGCAGAAGGAGGCACCAAAATGTGTCTGGCCCCATGTGGGGATGCAGGCAGCCTCACTTGCTGCGAAGAGAGAGGCCAAATGGCTGCTTGTGTCCCATGGCAGCTCCAGCAAGTGCCTAATGACATGGGGAAAGTGCAGGTGGGACACTGCTGATGAGGTCAGACCTCCACTTACACCCATGGCCACAGCCATCCTAGGCTCCACGTCGTATTGGATCATGGCATTCCCCCGGGAGGAATAAAGCCAGGAGATGTTCTCTTTTCATAGTTTCATAGTAGCTAGGGTCAGAAGGGACCTGAACAGATCTTCTAGCCTGACCCCCCGCCACAGGCAGGAATGAATGCTGGGGG